CAGGCCCGGAGTGGCCCTCAGAGCCTTATGAGGCACGCAATACACTTCCCAGTCCTGTCTGGCGATAGGGCAGGGCAGCATTATCCGTTGAACTAGGCGGCACAACTTGGATTGTGAGTTTGTGCTGTATGCAACAAGCTATGCTCAGCAGATGCCCTGAACTTAGGACCACACGCGCAAGTCATTCTGAATATTTAAAAGACGACAGCCTAAAGCAGCGTAAGACAGCCCTCCGGGAGAGCCTCCTACAACTTCTCGGCGGGTCTTGCCCGAAGTTGGCGTTCAGTTAGAACCTTCCAGCCATCTTAATGAGCCCTGGCCTTCCGGCTCGTCAACAATTTCTCTGTGCGCTGAAGCGATGTCCACATATTGAGTCCCGACATTTCCTCCAGGATGGAATGCTCGCAATGTACTGATACCAAGCCCAGCCAGACAATAATGTCTGCATTCCAGGCACATTTGTCGGGAAACCTTTCTGTAGGGGTAGGCTGTATTTCTCACAGGCTTAACATTCATTGTGCTGCTGAGGGCCATGACGCCTTTTACTCTCGCACGATTCAGAAGGATTTCGAAAAAAACTGGTGCTGCCGACAATGGGTGTCGGTTTCTTATAACGATTGAGGGGGGCAGATTTGTGGAAGGCGTCATAACGGGAGAGGTCTAGAAATTTCTCGGGTTGCGTGCCTTATGTTCTAGCTATCCGTCATATATATATATACATATATATATATATATATATATATATATATATATACACATATATAATATATGTAATATATGTATATATGTGTATGTGTATGTGCACGCAAGCAATATTGACATATCTTTTTGAATATTATATGCGTAGCCGCAGCAATCACTGCATAGAAGCCTCGCAGATTGCATCGATCTTATAAAGGCAACTGTCTCGTGAGGCCAAAGGCGTGGTGTTGCAGCTCTTCCTCTCTGTTTTTTGCGTACTAAAAACTTAACTTGCTGCATAATTTACCATAATGTGCTTAGAAAACTTGTTGCAAATGTATTCATTCACTGACAGGGGTAGGGTGTCCAGTGTCCACAACATATGTGGCCATCACAACCCATTTATACGCGGGATTCTCGACACACCAATATTTCATCGACACAAGGTATGTATTCTAGTGAATATCAATGCTAGCGAATTCATGTATATCATTGGTAATGTTAATTTCACGCATAATTAATATATATATATATATATATATATATATATATATATTAAGCTTCCCCCAAATACACGTAGGCATATGCCCTCCTGTTGAAAACCCTTGTCTCCCGCTCTTTCAATAAACATGAATTGCGAACTAGCTATACGTCTACGGTACACTTCTAAAATCTGTCGTGCCTCTGAAGAAAAGCGACCTGGACCCGTTTCACTTTGAACTTGTGAAAATGAAGTACTTGTCATATCGCTATCATGCGCGATGCAGGCTGATTGTACCAGCGCTGCTAGTCGAGCTGACTCTCAGTTACCACGCGATTATACTCACTACATACACTCGGTGTTCAATGAGCTTATCCGCGCGGGGGCGTACCCAGAGTCTTCGGAATTAGCGGGTGGACACAGGGCTGAACAAGCCCCCCCCCCCTCTTGGTGACAGTCCGCCACCCAAAAAAAGAGACCGTCGGATATGGTCCACTTAATTCCGAGGGGAGGTCTGCACTTCTTAAAAGCTAGCGTCAATAAACTGCACGAAACTGGTGTTAAATCTCTGCGTTCAATAAACCAAAGGCGCTAATCATTTCACAACGCTTCAGTGGACTCTGTCTAAGCTGATAGCATTCGGTCTGTGCCGATTTTTTCCGGGCTGTGCAGGAACATTGTGAATGTAGACCTTAAACCGAAATGTTGTAAATTTACACCCACATCAACCCGTTTTGATCTCAGGATGATCACCTTTGTTCAGAATCTAGTAGTGGATGAAACACATGAACAATGAATACAACAAAATAACATAATGAATAGAAGCAAATAAACAACCAAATCTAAATAATTTATATTTTGATACAAAAACATGATAGCAATATGAAATAATATAATATAACAAAATATAGCTATAATGCATATAAAATAACATGATATAATACTATAATATAATAATATGAAAACATCATAATGTAATAAGGTACAATTATTATAAAAATAAACACAAATCATAACAGAACTTAAAAAAAACACAGTACAATAGTTGGTCCTGCATCTAACATTAGGCGTTGGCCGACGGCCAGACGAATACGACAACGTTGCTGAAGAAGGCGCGTTTAAATTCCAAATTATGTTACAATGTGTTTTGCCTGTGCAATTTTTAAGTTGAAAATAAAAGCAGGCTTTGGGCTCCTTGCCAATACGTGACCCAGGGTAGGCACTGACTCTGGGCTCCTTGCCAATACGCGACCCTCTGCTAAGCACTAACTCTGGGCTCCTTGCCAGGACGTGACCCATGCTAGGCAATGTAGTCTCCGAACCGACGCGAGGACCGCTATATTGACTTAAAGGCGCCTGCCAATGCAAATCGCAGATCGCGACCCTGTCCCTGCTTAGAAAATGTGCCTTACGTCCCAGACCTGAACCTGCAGTATAGTCTGGTGACAAAACTCTATTTTTTAGTCTGGCCAGCGTCGTTCAGCCTCCACCATAGGAGTGTAGTTTCACAAAATGGGACTTGGTGGGGGCGAGCGAGGAAAAAAGTTAGCGCCAAGTACACTTAAAAGCAGATAACTTCCGAGATTTAGACCCAGTTTCCTTTCAAAGACGTTGTGGAGTTGGAGTCCCTCCCCTCCCCCCAACAGGACAGGAATATACAGCCCTAGTAAAGCAGGTAACTTCCGATATCTGACCCAGCTTCCTTTCAAAGACGTTGTGGAGTTGAAGTCCCTCCCCTCCCCCCAGCGGGACAGGAAGATACAGCCCCTAGTGTCATACGTTTGCTTGCTCTGGCTCAGTGAACGATGTTATCGTTGGGAATCATTTTAATTTTCTTTCGCGTCAATTGTAGCGACTAGGTTTCGGTAATCGACAGTAGGTTCGGTGTTATGTGACTTCAGACGTTGTTGGACTGTGCGGCCCCGGAAGCAGAGAGTGTAAGTTTATTTGAGCGACTAGCAACGTCAGCCATGAAAATCCCGGTTGATGGTCGCAAGGCAAAGTACAGGCGTAGTACGCCCAATTTATAATATATATATATATATATATATATATATATATATATATATATATATATATATATATATAATAGGCACGTATATATAATAGGCACGTTCGACACGGCTAGTGTTGGTGGGCATGGCGGGACGCCTACCGCCATCGTTTTATAAGACTGGTATCGTTCCCAGGTTTTTCGAAATTGTTTATCGACTACTGACGTGGAAGTAAAGGTCGACACATTTCAAGACCCCTCCCAAATGCAAACAGATGAAAGCCTGGCTACGTTTTGGGCAAAAATATTTCACCGCTTTGTTTTCATTTTCCGATAAGGTATCGCAACACAGTAAGTCAAGTTGCAGCGGTCGGTATACCATGACACATCGCTGAATAATACCAAAACGCCCCCACAATAACACAAAACAAGGTCATAGTCAACAACATATATACACTGTGCAGTTTGAAAGAGTAGCCTACAGGACAAACAAAACTAAAACTCAGGTAAACACGATACGACTACGGAACTTTAAAAGGGTGACTTAGTCAGATGGACTAAAGTGGACACGATATTGCAGTTTTTCATTTTGTTTTGGGGTCATTTTATCTATGAAACAATGATTAGACGCCTTTCCTAACTTTGATATAATTTTGAGCATCCATTTGTCGATGTGTTACATGTGTATGGGCTCCATGAGGTTGGGGAGGAGCAAACTCACCGTTGTGGGGGCCGCATTGTACATTGTGGGGGGGGGGGGGGACAGTGCCCACCAAAAAGAATGCAAATCACTCCTGGCACCGACCAAAACGGACCCGTATGATGTATCTATGCGTGAAAATTGGAAAAGGAAGGGGGACTCCTTTAACACTGCTGTCACATGGAACCTACACGAACGGACAGTTCCCGTCTATCAATTGTAAGTCCACTCGCGGCCCCCGCCGGAGTTCTCGCGGTACTTGGTACCGGAGATACCGATACTTGGCCCGGCAGGTTATTACCTCGTTGTCGTCGACGCCGGCACACAAAGAGCAGGGCATGCGCTCGTCGGGCGCCGATGCAGCGATGAGTGTGACGCCGTGAAGCCAGACATCGACCGGGTCAGGACACAAGTCAGCCGCCAGCGAGGAGCAGTCCAGAGACGACGGTGGATCGCTCAGCGCAGCCCGACCAGCGACAGCCGGCGACATTGCTGATGTTTTCGTGCTGCTGTCCGTGGCGATCTTACCTGCGAACGTTTCAGAACAAATGAATATGATGTGTGGTCGGCCCAGCCGTAGTACGGCATTCCGATTACACGGGCACAGTACGACACCCCAGCTGCACCGACACCCAAGAACCCAATAGATGACTTGCCCTCTTTTCCGCTAGTTTTCGTGCCCCAGAAAAGACGAAAGTTGTCGGGAACGGAAAGGCACATACCTCGTAATGATCAGCTCTCCTGTGAAAAGGAGGCTGGAGGAGAAAGCTTAAGCAAAAAGGCGCTCAACGCCTTGTAACAAAAACAAAGGAAGTAAAGGCACGGGGGGGGGGGGAAGAGAAACCACGGGGAGAAAATGTCAAAAAGTCTTCTCGGTACAAATGTCAAAAAAGTCTTCTCGGTACAAATGTCAAAAAAGTCTTCTCGGTACAAATGTCAAAAAAGTCTTCTCGGTACAAATGGCATCTATATGTATTGCTCAGAAGGTGAAGGATGAGGTATGACTTCTTTTTATTGCATGCAGTCGTTGGCAACATGAAATGTGTGGTACAGCAACGCAGGATTCGTTTGCAACACGCTCGTTGGTTAGGCACCCCAGCAAAATAGCTGTGTCATTAGATAAACGTTTTCTAACTGCTTTTTTCACGGCACGATAAAATATCAAAAAATAAAAAAGAAACGAATCAATTGGTGCTTATCTTTGCCATTTTCAGGACAGGAAAATAGTTTATGAAGCAACCCTGGAGCGGTTGTAAGAAGTTAGTACGCTTCGAACGTAAACCAACTTCGGTATACCTCAAAATCTCAGAATATCCGCGGTGAGATGATGCAATGCGTGCTCCGATATCCTCTGAAATCAAGATTTAGAACTCTGAGAAGTTGCAACGGTTGTAAACCAAACCAGGGAAATCTGAAAAAGTAAGAAAAGCTGAGACATTTCACCCAATTTGTGCCAGAATGACATAACCTAGGGTCATGGGTACGATTTATACATCATGGGTTACGCACAGGTTACTGCAACTTGGAGATTTCAAACGTTTTTGACAGGTGATTGCGACCATTGTTGCAATAATGCGTACTACACCGATAAATGTAGGGTAGCATGAACCTGCTACCGGTGCTACCCCATAATATCATATGAGTTCAAAACCGTTCAAAATTAAAGTAACTTTAACCGATTTTTAACATACTTGAAACAAAAAGATGAAACTGGCTGCTCACTGTATTCAAATGAGTTACCTGACGCCCGCACCTCGAATTCAGAAATGGAGTCGGTGCTACTCATTCCTCCGCTATCTACCCTGTAAATCAGCTTGTACGCTGGCGTTAAAGAATGTTGTTCCACATATGTACGGAAATTGTAACTGAAACAGCTGTCTTGAAGATCGTTTGGTGCAGTTCACGGGCCTGCATTATTTCGGGGAGACGAGACAATGTCCAGGTCACCCATGCATCCACGACGCCATGATAACGTCACTCAAATCCTGGCATTCCAATAGCCTATGCGGCAATCAAGGCAAAAATATAATGGCCAAGTCGGTCATGTCTGGTGTTCGTGAGCACGATTTCCAGATAAAGCGGCCGCCAGTTGGCTCTTGATCAATGTTGTGTTGGGTACGATGGCGTAACCAAACCATGACGCATTGAGGGGCGTATTCCCTACGTAGAGAAATTGTGATGTCTGGAGTAGTGTTTTTCACTCAAAAGTACAGCAATGTTTTTAGTGAGTTTTTTCATCGGCTGGTTCCTTCAATATCTCCAGATGTGAAGTATTCCCTTTATTGGCGGCTCGTTCAAATTTATGCATAAGCATCATCGCAAACGGAATAAAATTTACCATCTTGTGTCCTCAGTGCCATCTTGCTACCCATGGTGATGCCCTGTTGCTGTTTGTAATGATCTTTGCACAATCAAATGTCCTTTGGGAACAGTGGGTGATAAGGCCTGCTGTGTCCATAGTTTAAATGTCATGAAACATTAGGAGCCACAAGAAATGTAAAGTACTATTAGCGTTAAAACTTGCTGAGGTCTGGTACATTATAAGTTGCACAACACTGGAGTTTGTGATGCGTTAGTGGTTGCGACCACTATGCGCTCTGATACGCTTGGTGTTATAATCAGTCCTAAAACAATATAAGTTTTCGGCACATTAGGATTTCGATAACATTGTAGTTTGTGACGCATGAGTGGTTGCGACCGTTGTAGGTTATTACACAGTAAAGCGATAGGGTGCGAAAGAGGCTATGATTCATTAGGGTTTAAGAACATTATGTGATAATCCAATAGGCGTTATGAAACATCGTACGTGACGTAAGCATGAGATGGTACAATACATCAGTTGCTACCATATTTAGGGAGTTATGACGTATTAGGTGTTTTGATGCACGAGGTGCCGTGAATCATAAAGCGTTTTGTGACTTAACGGGTTCACTTAAACATTAGTGGTTGCAATACTTTACGGCTTGCGATACTAACCTCCTCGCGTCTGGTAGCACCGTACATACCAAAGAGAAGAGGCTCCCAAGGCGCGTGCTCTGCATAGTTTTTATTTTTATCTTTTTTAAAAAGAACCCTTTGAATGGCTGGATTTCTGGGATCAGAGCTCACGCTAAGCAGTGCTTGTTGTGTGAGCCCTGAACCCCTACCACCCGATCGCGCAGTTCCATGTCAACGGCAGAATTTGGTGGCAAAAGCTTAACGGGCCGCAATGCTCGGCACGGTCCGTCCTGCCCTCTGACGTCAACTGACCTTTAGCGCGACCGCTGCCACCGGTCGCAGGCCATGCCTGTCAAGGGCAAATAGCGAGCGCCTTAAAGTGACTCGAACCCGCCCCGCCACGGGCGAGTGAATCGGAAGGCACACGCTCTAACCAACTGAGCCACCGGGAGGGACATTGTTTAGTTTAGTTGGATGCTTAACACGCGACTTATTTTCGACATATTTGTAGACATTAGCGCTGGCTTATCGATTGCAGCTTTCCTGCGCGCCTGCATGTTCGATGCGATATAGCTGGACATTTAGGCAATTCACACCACGACAGCAAGCCCTCTTGGATCTGAATTTGAGCACCGTCGAGTACGTATTAAACGTTACACTTTTTCTCATGCCATTTTAAGAGGGGTTCTGTGGTGGGATGCCTTGCGTTGCGCAGCTGCCCGGCTGTCAATGTGCGCCGCCGACTGCCGCAATCACGCATCCCCACAAGAGCCAACTTAAAACTAAGAGCCTATTGGTAAGCATTCGAGCCAGATGATGTTAGCGTACGACTCGGCACGTCATGACTCCGGTACACCCGATATCAACACACGCTCACATGCGAGCCAGAAAGCTAGGATGACGCGGGTGACCGGCGTATTGATGGGACGTTAGGTCCGGTCAAGCTCTATGAACGACTGCCTCCCCATGCATGCTTGACCATCCCTAGTCGCGGGATCCCACCTCCACCGCTGGGTTGGTAGCCGCATTTAAACGGGGAAAATGGAACGAGATGCATTGAGAAAAGTTCGATGTCTTGCATTCTCTGGTACGTTAAAATTGGCGGGGATCCCTCACAATCGTCGGAATGCACTGGCGAAGGCCCGCTGAATATTGAACTTGTGGGTTCCTTCGTCCTGAACTAAGCCACACTAGGCTTCCTGCATTCGACTGTGCCTTCGACATTCGACCACATTCACTCCAGGCATACAGATCCGCTGGAGCCCACTTCACCCGACTCATGCCTGGCTCCCACACGGGTACGACCTCCACACCTTTGCCTCCCGTTAACCAGCGCCCCGGCGTTATAATATGCCTGTCTGTACGAGTCCTTGTAGAACTGCACTAACTTTATTTAACGCATTTCAAACATCGAATATAGCCCCGTTCACGTCCTTTTTAAAATATATCGGATCAAGTTGTGATCAGCTTGGCACGGACGCAGCTGATGGGCCGGCATTCGTTATACCAAAGCCAGACAACAGCTCGCTCCCTCGCCTGACCTCCAGAGTGTGACGGCTCGCTATTCGGGCGACGCCATCGCGCGTTTCGCCTACGATGGAGTGACCCACCGGTTACTCAGCCACGCCCACCGCTCGCAGCTCCTACTGCTGCGCACGCGTTTTAGGCAGCGCCCCATGCAGTACGGAGACCTCGTCTCCGGCGTTTCTGCGCCCTCACCTCTCTCATGCCGAAGTGAGCAAGGCACCGCCCTTCAGCGTGTTCTTCAGAGGTCTGGAGGTAAACAGCGTGCCTGATGGGACGGCGGAGCCCGTCGGCAGGCGGCGCGCGCCCGGCGTGACCTGGGTGTACACTTTAAGGTCTCCACGGCTGGCACACTCTGGAGAGTCGGTGTGACCACCCTATCAGATGACTTAGTCCCTTGTCGCCCTCCACACAAGCGTTGTTGACGGGATCCCTATCCATGCCGGACATCCGGTCACCAAGCGGCTCAGCGTACACAGCGTTAGAAGAGGACGGGCTGTGTTCTGGTCGCTCCCGGGGCGTTGCACATCGTCGGATAGATCCAGTTACCGCCATGCATAACCCCGTCTCCCGAACGGCCCTAACTGGTTCCTGGTCATACCATGACCCACACATCTTCATGCCGTCACGCCTGATCCCAAACAAGAGACACCGAAACAAGTCGACCGTCTCCCGGTAAAAAAATGAAACCGCGTCTTCGGGTCACGCTACCCATAAAACATTAAGCGGGAATGCGCAAGACGATATTCAGCAGGTCTGCGGTCGTCTGGCTCCTCTTCGGTCCTGAGCCTTGCCGCTCGGCGCGGTCCGCGCTTATCAGTCTTCGCGGTCCTCACCGTCACGGTGTGACTCGTCCCTCGTTGAAGGGGCCGCCGGGTGCGGATCGCCGAAGGGATCTGTCAGTCTGGCTAAAGCTTCGTGAGCTAGATCACGCGACAAATAAAAAGGAAGGAAAAGCGTAATTGTAAGCAAAACCCGTGCATGTACCTGGGCGGGGTTCAGCTGAGAGCTCTACCGCTCCTAACCCTCGGAAAAAATTAAGGAAACGAGAAAACGGCAAGCCGAAAAAGTGAGCAATAGGCTAACGTTCTAGCCGAAGAAAACTGTCATGAATGTGCGGTCACGGCTCGTACGCTGCACCCGGCCTCGACGCATGGGCGGGGCAGGCCATAATGACACGACCTGGATCCTTGTGGCCACCTCCAACGGTTAAACCCACATAGCTCCGGCGTAGGCTAATGACGAGCCGCCACCCCAAAGCGTGCTTCACCGGTCTTAAACATCATGTCCACCCACGCCGGGCGCGAGTGCTCCATCGCCGTCCGATCAAATTAAGTCCAGCCTCGCGTTAACGCTGAAAAATTGAGACGCAACAAATCACCTGCCTTTTCAGTCATCCACACTTAGTCCCATATCAGCCTACTGGTCGGACTTTTGCTCTCCGTCTTCATAAGTTTGCAGCCACATCCGTGTCCAGCGCCGAAACCCCGCAATATATCACCCTCTTCCCTAATTATGAGATCACAGCTCTCACCACGAAGCACATTGCTGGGCCGGGAGAGTCGCATAGCCTGTCCCCTCTCCCCAATTACACCAAGGGAAGGGGTTCCCGGGCCACGAGCCATCCTCGGAGCGCACAGCCGTCTATGGTCCGGCTGAGACGAGGGACGACAGCTCGGTGGACTCACATCGCGTGTGTCGTCGGCGTCCCGTCACCCGCTGAGCCAGAGGTCGTCGCTAGGTCAGCGTCGGGTTGTCCTGTTTGCAATGCACGACACTCGCGCTCCTTCTGCCCTGTAGCCTCCTGTCCGAGACCACCTGGGGTCATTCCTCAGACGCTTCTCCTTTTCGGCCTCTCGTTGGAGGCTCTTCGCACTCTTCGCTTTATTTCTTTGCGATTTGTTCTGACCGGGTCAGCCGCCCTCGTTTTTCCGTAAGGTTCAGTAGCTTTTGCCGCAATGCCCCCTCCGTCCAATGTGTTTCCAGACCGGCCTGCCCTACTTCCAGGGCTCGACCCCCAACGTGCCCCAAGGCCAGAGATCGGGCGCCACATCGCCGGAGGCGGAGCAAAGCCCGCCCGCTCTTGCCGCGGACAGGTTCTCCGCGTTCCCTCGGACCCAATCCCCGCTTGGTGCCGTCGCGGCGGGGAATCTGGATTGGGGTGAGGCAGCTTTGCTGTTTCCTCCTTGCACCGCCGATCCGGTGCCGCACGTCCATCAATCTTGTCTGACCGGCTGGTGGCAGGTGTCCCTCTTTGAAGTGCCAGTCCGAAGCGGAAAAACACGCCGCTGCCCTGTGAAGTTCTGCAAGGATGGCGGATTACCGCGACGGGCCAGCTTTCGGGCGCCGCTCTTCGTCCGCCGGTCATTTCCTGAGCCGGCTCCCTCACGCTGCTGCAGGACGACCAAGCGCAGGTTTTCGCTGATGTGATTTGACTTTCTAGGTTCCTGTCGTCCTAATGGTCGTGTTTTGTTCGATGCGGGAGTTCTTGGCCACAGCCGACTCGCCTGCTGTCCCACGCCCGGGCAGGGAGCTTCGCCGATTCTGGGCGGGCCGTATGGGAAAGTTGAAAAGTATAGAAATGTATGGCTACATCGTCTGCTTTGGATTTGCGTCTGACGCAGGTCTGACACGCTGAAAAATCGCCTGTGTGAACAAGTCACAAACATGCCAAAGAATCACTTTGTAATTTCCTGGAACAACAGCCGCTTGACTATTGGCAGCACGTGCATTTCACCGAACTTGCTGACCGGCGTGGCAGTAGCGTACGCCAAAAAGTACCTATGAGCGAATGAATGTGCTCAACTAATCTCCAGTCGTTGCAGGCTGAGAAAGTGAGGATGTCTTGACAGACGTGAAAATCCACATAAGTTAGCGTGTTATGTGAGGGAATGGAAACAAAATAAAACGAAACAAACTACCATCTTTTAGGGACCCTACGGGGACAAGCCCTTCAAATTCAGTTTACCATTTTTTTTTTCAAGCCTGACCATGAACGCTGCTTGGAAACGTCGAGCATGCCCATCATATACCAATGCTTGCCCGGTATCTTTGGCTAATTAGCGTTTTCTGCCTTAAATTCTTCGTAAGAACCCATGGTGCCGAAAAGAACAGAAGCTTGATGCCCATCCTGCTTACATCAATCATAGTTAATTCTGACAAGCTACATGGTACATGGTACATGGTACATGGTACATGACATGGTACAAGTCCGTAAGAACTACTAAGTAAACACTCAGTTCATGAGGTTATGTCTAAATGATATGAAATGTCAAAAGATGTCCCTGAAAATACAGTCAACGTGCTTATTTCTACGGTATAAAGCGTGTCAATTGCATTAGCATGCACACTGTATCAAAACACACTCAACGTGCATGCATCCTGTTAATGGCTTTCGTATATGCCGTACATGGCAGCTTTTACATCTGCGATGCGATTGTGAACATGTCATTACGCATTTTGTGGTGCGCAAAAGCAAGAAGTGCAGCTTGTTAAATCTGATATACGAACGTTAAATCGATGACATACCCGTCCGGTTGGCCACGAAATTTTAAGATACATGTGTAGGGAATAAAGATATTTGACGGAATGAATTAGTAATTTAGGTAGCTCAAGCAATCATCAGACCCCAAAATAGTGTGATAAATCCAAAATGTGCACCGTTCACTGCATAATCAAACTGTAAGCAAATAAAAAGACTTACCTTGCTGAACGACAACACTACTCCAGCGCCACCACACCAGGCATAAAGAAATGCAGCACACCAATTATGAAAGCACGCCCACATACAAAGTTTACGTTTTTGTTGGGAATATACTTGTTGAAATATAAACGGGGCAGAAGCAGATGACTCGTTACACCGTGAACTAGCAGCCCAGCTAGATGCCTTCCAAATTCAAGGTAAGCCTGATATTCTCTACAGGGTCTTAAATGATTGTAAATGGCTTTAGGAAATACACATTAAATGCTATCTTGCTCTTCGTGCTGAGGCGTATTAGCTAACGTGCACGTGTTTTGCTGAGCTGCTACAGAACGTGCTCAGTCCTAGTCAGCATCTTCCTTGTGCATTTTCGAGGCTTCCTTGCCTTTTCAAGGAAGACTTCGTTTGCTTGGAATGAATAAATGTATTATCAGGTTTTAAGTGAATATATGCAGTGACGTATAATTGCTTCTCAAGATATCTTGCGTTGAAATAATTTTCTTAACTGACGTTTACCAGCCGGCACCTATGTTCAGGTTTGCCCAGATGTACTTCAGCATGCGCTCGGGTGGGGGTCAAATTCACCCCCCGAAGGTTTTTTCCCGTAATGATATCCGAGCGGCGTAGCGCAGCCGCACCAAATTTTGCATAGCTGTAGAAAATTGAATAGCAGAACGTTTGGTGTTCCAAATTTATATGTACCTTGTAAGGTCGCTGACCTACGCCAGGTCAAAGTCAAGCCACGGATTCTGCGAAGTCAGTTTCTAGGGAATCGTTCAATCTGGTGCAACGAAACGAAGTGTTAGACAAGACCATACCCCTCTGAGACCTTTTACAAGGGAACGCGAAGCTTGAATGAATAAATTGCATTGCCCTAAGGTCACTTTTGAAGGTCAGGCCTTGGTCAAAGCTGAGCTGCTTTATTCCTCAAGGGCTTGCTGTAGGGTATAGTTTTTGGTGTTTATTTCGATTTTATTAATAACAGGAACAGCATTATGCATCTTCCGTGCCATTCTCAAAGGTCAGAAAAGGTCACTAATCTAAAATGAACCAGGTCAACATTTTGTTTTTTAGGAACATACTGCCTAGCGTAATCTTTGTCGCTTATTCAAATATAATACTCAAAGCAGTCCTGTATGGGTTTGGTCATCATGATCTTCGAAAGGTCAAGCAAGGTCACTGACACAAAATGTTTGTGTGACCTTCTGCTAAGAACAGGTATCTAGGTTCTGGGGGCATTTTAGAGACCACCCTAGAGACCTAGAGATTGCCCCTGTTTGACCTTATTTGACCTGAAGGTTATGACCTAGGAACCTCAAACTTTGACCTGAGTGAGTGATTTCAGATACAGCCCAACACATTCTGTAAATTTGGTGCCTCCAGCTCTCTTAGTTACTGACGTCTCTGGGGGGGTCAAACCGAACCCCCCACCCGAGCAAACGGGTATCCAACCGGCGGGCGCGTGTTAAAAGAACATTGTCTGGCCTGCATCTGCTGGGTTGAGACATTACGGCAAGTCCAATGTACCAAATGAATAAATGCAGCCATGTAACTTGTGTGTCATTGAGAATTGCTCGAGCACAAGCTACCAAGCTACGTGCACTGATGACATCCAGTACAACCCTTCTTCAAATTCTTGCAATAAGCCGGCCATTCACGCTCACCGTTAAAGCGTTCGTAATGAGCAAGATATGGTGAATTAAGCAGCCATGCTGACCTCATCCAGGCACTATCCGACGTAATGAATTATCCAGCCTTCAACCATGTGTTGAAAAGTAATGCGCCATGCTTGCATTTAGCCATGCGTGTAGGAAACGCAAGGATTGCAGGCCATAGCTCATGGATATTATCCTGAATAACTGCAATGCTGGCCTAGATTGGCTCGTGATTCATCCAACTCGTGTATTCAACAAGCCTCCGCTCAGCTGGCCGCTGACATCTCCAGAATCCCCGCAGTCGCCCTGTTCTTTTCCATCAGTCCCGCTCCCGCACCCGGGCGACCCGACCCCGACACGGGTCACGTGATCACGGACGAATGGCCGCAGGCCACGCGGGGCTGCGTCCCGGCGCGACACGCCAGACAAGGTGACCCGAGCCGGCGGCCCGGAGCAGCCTGGACCTGACCGGCTAGGCAGGCTGGCACAGCATCTGGCAGGGGAGTGCACCACTAATGCAAACAGATGCATGCAGGTAGCTGTGCAGACCCCCTTGATAACACCAGTGCTTCCCTGTTCTGTCCGAGCAGAAAGACACCGAGCCAAGTCTACTTGCCAACCTTGTGACGCCGTCTAGGGGATCCAGCACCGCACCTTAGCGGGTGAATCATGATTCTTGACAGTCATATGACTAAGCTTATCCCTGATCGGTGATGCCATGTTTGTTATGTCGAAATGTGATGTTTGATGATGTCTGACGTCTGTGATGTCGAAATATACCTGTTTTTCGACACGAACTGTTCTTGGAGATGAAAGTTCGTGATCTGAAAAGAATCAGGTCAAATTATGAGAACCAAAGCGTTTGCTTTGCGATTCGCAATGTTGATCACGAAATCGACTTGGGCGTCTCTTATTCCAACAGCAGACTCAACTATAAACACTTGTCCTCCAATCCCTGACGCTGCTACCAGACAGTCCTCCTTCAGAGGCTGATCCAGGCCCGGACACTTCTCCTCCAATGGTAGACCCGAGCCCTATTACACGGCTCTTCCAACAGCTGACCCGCATGCCGAACATCCCTCCTCCAACAACAGACCCATGTATCAGACACTCCTCCGCACGCGGCAGACCCATGTACCGGACAATTCTCCTCAAGCGGCGGACCCATGCATCGGACACTCCTCCAACAACAGGCCCATGTATCGGACACTCCTCCAGCGGCAGACCCATACATCAGACACTCCTCCTACAACAGGCCCATGTATCGTATACTTCTCCTCCGGTGGCAGACACATGCATCGGACACTCCTCCTCCAGCGGCAGACCCATGCATCGGACACTCCTCCTCCAGCGGCAGAGCCATGCATCGCACACTCCTCTTCCAGCATGTCTTTGCCCGGACATCTCACCTCCAACAGCTGGGTCAGGCGCGCAACGATCCTTCTCCAGCCAATTCAGGATCCAATTACGAGCGACAGCACGAACAGTCAGAGCACTTTGTCGAGTAGTGTGCGTTTCAGTGAGTATTGTAGCTAATGTGTGCGTGTGTTTTAAGGTTATTTCTGTCGTGCTCTTCCTTTTTGAGTAGTTCTTAAGATGTTTCGTTGGTATTTTAAGAATGAAACGACACAAGTCTAAGCTCTAAGATCAAGCTCTAAACTCTAAAACTCCATGTCAATTGTGCATCACATTTACATTTGGCTCAAACTGGGTTATATTAGGTAATAGGGCAGTTGCATCTTAAGTTTTGAGGGCGGTCGTAATTTTTGTTGATGTATTTTGGAAGGCTTCTGGTTGTTGTTTTGTCAGTTGTACAACAGGCAAAGGTGAAACATTCTTTAAAAGGAATGTTTCACGTTTGAAGATACTGAAGCGAGCATCATATAGGAATAAATGAGTTCACTCGTAGCTATTTCTATAGTATTTTTTAGTCGAAAAGGCTGCTCAAGACAGCACAATTTCGCTATTCAGTTTAAGTGCTCCTCAATGGGTCGTTATTTGATTGCGTCATGGAACGTTTGTGTGACGTCGAGCTGCTGCCATGCATGGTGCTGAGGTGCTGTGCTGAGGTGTTGGGGGGTTGAGGTGTTGAGGTACTGAGGCCAGCCCAAGCCCGGGGCCCACCCCCAGTCAACCAGCACGCGGCAAAACGCAACGACAGCAAAACCTAGGGGCCCGGCATCACCCCCAGGCACACTGACGCTCGCTCTGCGAGGCCCTGGTCTGTCCCTAGCCAAGAATAAACGCATGAAAAACAGACCTAAACATGGGCACGAATGGGAGCTAACTTAGCTGATGGCCGAAAGCTAGAAGAAGGGACTTTTCGAACAAAACCTGCGAGAGCGTAACGTTCATGAGGACAGTCCCCCTTGAGGAAGAGGGACAACGGCCCACAGGACCAGCGCGGACGCGGCAAGGGAGTAGCACTCGGACTGACAGGGCTCTCAGTGGACGCAGGCGCTCTGCGCTGGACCACCGCAGCCACCAACATGTGAGGGCTGCAACGAGCAACGGTGGAGAGCTGCGACGAATAGCTGAGGCACTAGCAGTCTGCTCTCCGTTTTCGTCCCCCGTGGGACATGTCTCCTCACCTCACTCCGCCCCACACCCTTTGCTACGTTTGTCAGGCGCCAGCTAGGCACGAAAACTCCGCCGGGTAAGCGCCATTTTGAAGGGAACTGACCGGGACAGTATGGGTATGCCACGTGCCGGGTGGGGAAAATCATGCGCGACGTACAAGAGTCGTATAGCGTACATGTGAACTAGCGCTGTGTGCGTAGATGTGTGAATGTGGATTATATTTTAATATGTTAGACTTATGAGCAAGTCGTGAGTTTAAGGAAGGAAGCGAGGAATTCAGACGAGAACGAACGTGGTGTAAACAGACCATAATCAAAATATTGATCCAGATGCTGAAGGCACGTGTCAGTTAACTTAGTAACCTGCAGGAGTCTTCACGTATAATTGGGGTCGAAAAGACAGCCTTCACGAGTTGGAAACGTAGCACTTTATTTGCAGTGAGCACAGTCCCTTGTAAATCTGTCGTAATATATATATATATATATATATATATATATATATATATCGATTTTCAAATAATTGCGTGACTAGTCCAGGTCCTTAAAAGAAGTTGTGACAAGGAATGACAGACTTATTTTATTCGACACATAGCTGTTTGCTTGCGATGCGCGCAGCTCTCGATGTGTACTCGGTGAGAGAAATGATGCACACTGCACGCTGTTCTTATATCATCGGCGAGTAATTTCGGCAATATCACAAATATTTACGGAGCATTAAAGCCGTTGATTATTAAGTTTTGATCGGGTACGTATTCTCTTGCCTGCAATACACACTGTTTTGATATAAATTTAGTGTAATATGAGTTACGTTGCAACGCATTCTATGCCAACGGCGATTTAATTTAGGAATTAGCATGCATCTTCAAAAAAACTGGAATCGGAAAGGGCTGAATCTGTCATTCGGGTGGGAGGGAGAGGGGGGGGGGATATAGGGGTGGGCAGAGGCGCGGCCCTGACTGACGCGTGTGATGACGTCACAATGACGTGTATAATGGCCGTCTGATTTTATACCAGGTTCGGGAGGGGGACGTACCTAAG